TATAAATAGAAAATTAAGCTTTGAACTAAGAGAACCTGTTCTTTTTTCTCAAAGAACAACTACTACCTACTAACAACCATAGTTCCTACTATATGCTTTTTACTCTCTAAGTAATAGATATTTTACATTCAACAACTAAATAATGTATATTCCCTTCTGAGGAAGAAGGAATTTTCCATTTGTTTTCCAAAATATTTAAGAATATCTATATGCTTATACTCTTGGTTTCGTTATCTTTTGAAAAGTAATAAACTTTAAAAACTAATCTCCACCCATGTCTTTCCATCCATATTTCCAAAGTGATTTATTTAAATATTGTTATGACTATGAGGAGTGTATTAGAATATCTTGTGTTCTTATCTTCAGATTTATTTATTAAGTCATGTTTATTTGCCCTCTTAAGTAAACAAAATGAATGAATCAAAGTGAATGTTATCACCACAGAGTCTTTCTTTCTAATTCCCAAGAAGTAGAAGTGCATCAAATTCCTTCCAGAATTTTAGTTTCATGCATAGCCATTATCATAATCTGAATTCACTACTTGTGCACGAGATCTGTATTTGTTAATAACAAATGCTATTATCTTACACAGTCCATTTTTGCCTTTATTCTATTCTACTTGTCCTTGTATTTACTATTTTCTGAAAAAGCATTGAAGGATAGGGATGTAATCCCTGCCTTCAAGGAGTTTACTAGTCAATTAATGGTTTGGGGCAACAAATCATGATAGATATTTTTGTCAGTACTTAATGTTTTGAATCCAAATACTCCAGATGGCAGTTAGACACTAGGCTAGTAGCCAATGGCAGAAGCTGTGTTTCTAGCAATTTGGGGAAAATACGCTATTAGGAAGAAGTGGCAGAAATTTACTATCTGTATGAATTAAGGCAGTCACTCAGCTTAGAAATTGAATGGGCTGTTTCATGAAGTTTCTTCACTCTGAGCACTGAAAAGGTCTTGCTTAGCATGTGCAAGTAAAGCAAGCATCTTCACAAGAAGTTTCTATCTAACTACTGTATATAACTGTGGCATAAAAGCCTTGTTGTCCAAAAAACAATTGTATTATTTTTTTTTTCAAAATAGCAACATTTAGTCATTATATTTTCAAATATCTGTTATTTATCTTCCCATTAGACATTTTTGGATCCAATATTGGACCATAACAGCTCATCAGAAAGAATGCCTAGAAATGAAATGCCCAGTAGTGCTTGGTGCACATGATAGTGAATTATATATAAAAAAAAATAATGATTAGGCTTGGCTCTGACAGACACAATTTAAGCTAATGTTGTTGTAAGTAGAGAACATCATATTATTCAAACTTGAAAAAGCATTTGGGGCTGGGGATATATTTCAGTTTCTAATATGCATCAGACCTTGGGTTGAATTCCCCAGTGCTAAAATTCTTCCTTAAAAAATAAAAAAAAAAAAGAAGAAGAAAAGAAAAGTTCAATAAATTTAATGAGCTACACTTTAGGGGAAGTACATGACTGACTGGCTCCAGCACTTTTACTGCCACAATGCAGGATTATGGGGAAACTTCTCTGCATAAATCAGTCCCTCCTTTTCTGAAAAGAAATAGTTATGTGTTTTGATTATCTTACAAAGAATATATGATAGACAATTACTCACATATGTACAAAATGAAGGTATTTTATATATTAAATTATTCATCTCATTCCAGTGTTTATTGTTTCTTTCCCCTGTTATTTGGAGATATTTATGTGTCTGCTGTACTATGACTTAATTTTTTTTTTCTAATCTTCTTTTTCAAAATAGTTAGGTTAACTAAGTTCTTACGATCAATATTATCACTTCTAAATTTTTAAAACCTCATAGCTGATATCCCTGCCTAATTAAACACAACATGTATGTGTTGCTCCCATCCTGTGGCTTTCTCTTACCTCTATTTTTAATTTAAACCCTGCCCTGCATTTCAAGGGCTTCCATGGATGAACTTCCTTAGCCTGCAGACACACTGCTGTTTTGCATTCCAGAATGTGCATTCAAATGCATTCCCTTTCTTTCCTACCACTCACTGATCCACACCGTCCTCCATAATACCTTGTCAACAATTATCTTGTTCCACATCTTTCTTTAAATTGTATACATTTATTTTTTAGAACACAAATCTGGTTAACATCTTTCTTTTGACTATAGCTGATGAAACCTAAAGATTAAATATAAGGTTAATTAATTAAATTAATTTTTTTAACCCAACACAGACAATTTGGGATACACTAAAGTTAGAAAGCTGAGCTGAACTTTGTGTTTAAACAGACTAAGAGTCTTTTATCCTTACAGGATACCTTGACTCTTACCCTGAAACTAATGTTAGAATTTTTTTGTGATCTCTAAAATACTCCAACCCTGGTAAGAATTAAATTTTGGGTTTTTATATTACTTAAAATATCATATTCTTATTCCCTCTCCTTATCATCTTCCCCACAACTCCTTCAGACAATGATTTTTTTTTTTTTTAAAAAAGGAAACAATCACACAGGATTAGGTGGAATCTGTTTGTTGATTATCATTTCATGTCTCCTTGGTGCTCATGTTCATAAGCATGTTTTATGTCTGTGAACCTATAAGCAGCTCTCATTTTTATCTTAGATAGTACCACAACCTACATCTTTGTCTTTTCAGTATTTTTGTTCCCTCAGGGACCATTGTTTCTTCTTATAGTAGAACAGTTAAAAAGACAGAGCTCTGTACAGACAGATCTGAATTCTCATCCAGCTGTAAACTACACAATCTTTGTGTCCATTTCAGTTCAAAAACCATTTTTTAGGACAACCAAACTCAGATTAAACCTGATGGTTTTTATTAAAGGATAAAAAAAATTCATTTATTTGATGAAGAGAATAAAGTAGATTTTTTAATTCAAACATGCGCCATCTTCAACCTTTAAATTCAATAAAATGTTTGAGAGTATTTATACCCTTTTAAAAATATTTTTTGAAGTTGTAAATCTGACTATAGTGATTTATACTTAATTATTGAATCCTTTTTATGAGTAATTAATCAAGTTGTTTAATTATCTAAATAACAGAATAATTTTCAATATTATGAAGTAATTCTTTAAGAAACAAAATTAAAATTTGAATAGCTGGATTGTTCACGTTATTCATTTTACCTACAGATATTTAAGACATGTCAGATTTCCTATTCTGAAACAATCTCAGTTTTGGTGTGCCTAGGCAGAAATAGGTATTGTTTCCTGTAGTAATAAAACCCAGTGGATTTATATTTTTAAAGACAAGAGCACAATATACAATAAAATATGAAATTTACACAGCATAATACTGTTATTTAGCTAATCTGTTAATATACATATATTTTTAATATTACGTATCAGCTGGGCATATTTTAAATTTGAATTTAATATTCTAAATGATTTTATAAATGGTTCAGAATGATGACAGAAAAAACTGCTTTTCTAAGTACAAAATATAATGCATACATTTTTTAACACAAGTATGGAAAATGATTCAATTCTGATCGTTGTTTATTAAATAGTAAACTCTCATCATATTTAAAGTGAATGATCCTTTTACTCTTTATATAAGTGAAGATTTAGCAATTTAATTTTATCCTTTCTTCTGATAAAAATATAAATAATATAGTTTTTCTAACACAAGATAACTTTATAGGGACAATCATTGTTGATAATCTAAATATATTCACTAAAGTTGTTCATTCTTTCTCTGGAATTTGTATCTTTCATTGCTTTGCATTAAAAAAGGTATTATTTTATTAATGATTTTAATTTTCTATTTTCATCTATATCATAATATCTGGAAACAGCAATGTGTGTTTTCATGAAAATATGTACTGTTTTCAGTTTTTCTTTGTAGAGAGACCCCATTTATCAGGACCTATGGCCTATCTTGAACAAGTATATCCTTTGAAATTTCTCTTTCAGGAAAAAAATATCAAGATAATCCAGAGAACCATTCCACAGGACTTGTGCTTGAGAGCTTTTTACTTTAGCATCAATCACTTCATAACAGAAATGCTACCTTGCATAGTAAAAGCTATTTACTCTCAAGACAAATGGAAAATAGGATATTAGGATATGTATATACACAAATATATTATAAAGTTTCATTATTGCTTTCTCATCCAGATTGTTAAAATGTTTATGAAGTGTTGAATGAAGATGAAAAGAGTATTAATCTTAACATCTAATATTATTATTTCAATGTAAAACAACTTCCTTTGTTTTAGGTTACTTTACCATATGGTTGTTATTATAAAATAAAAATTTTCTTTGTAATTTATCAATGACTTGTTAAAGAATGTTTTCTATGTTACTTAATAAAAATTATTAAGTGATAGCTTAGTGGGAGAGTGTATGTTTTAGGCAGTCTTCTGTAAAACCCTAATCCTCAAGATAATTTTGAGAGTTGTCTGTGTTTATATTGTGAAGTAAAGTGAACTTCTGGCAAGAATCCAGTTAATTTTTATCAATGTAGGTAGACTGACCAGATAACATTCTTCAAATACTCTCCTCTGATTCTCACTGAATGCCTATTTTGTATTTCTATGCAACTCATGCTCAGAAAAATTGTTATAGGTACCCATTTCAACAAGTCAAAGAAAGAGATACATAGGGATTGAACCAACATGGATAGTAAGAAAACTATGTGTACACGAAGCTGCATTCTTTTGTAATATACTGCGTGAATTTAAAGGACAGAAGTAGCTCTTGACCGAATAATGTGATATACTTGCCTCCTATAGACATTGGAAAAGAGTTAATATAGATTTGTTCTGAGGCCCTGAACATACTGACAGAGATTCCATCTATGTGGTATCTGTCATTCCTCCCCTAAGATGTTAGTCATTAAGTTGAGATGACAGCTACTTTCCTTAAGTATTTCAGGATCTAAACAAAAATACCTAGAGAAAAAATAACACATCTGAGTATGAGTAATTTCTGAAAAGTGCATTGTTTATTATTGATTAGTCTTTTTCTCTCTCTTCTACTTCTGTAGCAGTTATATGCTGCCCAGCTAGCTGCAATGCAGGTGTCTCCAGGAGGAAAGCTTCCAGGCATACCCCAAGGCAACCTTGGTGCTGCTGTATCTCCTACCAGCATCCATACAGACAAGAGCACAAACAGCCCGCCACCCAAAAGCAAGGTACCTTTTTGAAGCTTCCTATGTTGTCACTTAAAGAGTTTTGCTTTTCATTCAGTGGTGTTTGCTGAAGATCCATTATCTATTATATGACAGCAAACTGTGTACATGGAGGTAAGAGTCTAACAGGAGTAATAAGTGTACATGCAAATTTACATAAACGCACTGAGTAATTCATTTGTTCAATTAATCAGCAAACACATGCAGACAAGTATAATAAAAATTTGATAAATAAATTATACAATAATTTATCAGATAAGTATTCTATGCCCAAGGGACTTACAGTCTTATAAAGTAGATACATATAAAAATAGCCAACTAGCTGTATTCAATGATGAGAAATAATACATTTTATAAAGACATAGACAGATAAGGCACATTGGAAGTTATTAGGAAGAAGAGATTAACTTCACTGAGAAGTGAAGTGTTTGCCAGAGAAAGAGGAACTGAAATAGATCTTAAAGTATGAGTAGGATTAGGACATATGGAGTGTTTTTTTAAAAATATCAATAACTGTTATAATGTGGCATGGTATAGATGTAATTTTAGATATGTCACCCATCCACTGAGATTATCATGTAAAGAAGCAAAGATAATAATAGTATTAGAAGTAAGACTATTTAGAAGCAGTTTTGGTTTTGCAGTTAAGAAGCATGTGGAACACATGGAAGGAGATTGGGAAAATTTATTTAGTGTATGTTTCAGCTTAAACAGAGAAAGAAGCAGAAAAAATTGATTCAAAATGTTTTTTTTATTTTAAACCTTACATATATGATATTGTATGAATAAATTAAGCTTTCTGTGAACAATATAAGAGTGACAGTTAAGTAGTACTCCATGAAACTACTCAGGAAAAATAACTGCAAATTTTTGACCATGTTAGAAAATAGGAAATGAAACACTAACAACAGTTAATTTACCCCAAAATTAATTTTTTCTGAACTATGTAGAAAATTGCTTCTGATCTCTTTTCCATGGATGGAGATGATGAAATATATCAAGAGTAACAGGGTAAGAGTAGTTACAACAGTGGAAAGGAACACAGAGGAGAGGAGTAGAAAATATCAAAAGAGAAATATATAACAGCTTATTTTTTAAAAAGTCTTTCTCCAAAAACGTGGCAACTCCTCTAGGATGTATTTCCCAGTTACATACTATTCCAGAGGGAATTGGGAATGAAAAAGGGATCGATGGACTACCTTCCCATAAATTCCAAGTCCTTTTCTATATAATTAAGAGAAAATCACATTAAGAGTGTAACTTAACCTGGATAGAGACCTTGGCCCATGATTCCCAGTAATATGTGTAAATACATAGCAAAAAATATTGTACACCCTGCAGTGACATTAGGGAATACACATAAGCCACATTTAAGGTCTGTTTCGGCTGTTTAATGGACCTTGCATGTTCTGTGCTTAAAGCGTGTCTAAGGTCTGGTCTGCTTTTCTTTATAATCACAGCAGCATGTAAATTTTTAAAACTCAGTAATAATTATTTATTGAACAAAATTTAATTTTAAAGCAGAGATATTTTGGTGTCTCCATGGACCAGCAGTTTTAATGTATTCCATGTACAGGCTAACTTTGAGTAAAATAAATAGCTGTTACACCATAGTCCTTGTCATATGCAGATAGCTCTGTGAACTATTGTGTTCTGTTTTTATTCCCTTGATTTACTTGTGTGATTTCACATCATGTTTCATTATTATGCATTGTATGAGGATGCTTCATTTTAGGATTTTAGGATCCATAGTTCAATTTTAAATAGCTGATGGGTTAAACGTTTTGTCATTAATATCTACTCATTAAATCACTTTTACAAATAATCACAAAGCTTTTGATGCCAGTCTCATCTGTTTATGCTTTTATTCATTTATCTATTCATTCATTCATTCATTCAACCAGCCATGCAAATGCTTATTGAGCAATTTCTACAATGATACTTTTGTAGGTAATCCTGGCAAGTACAAAAGTGATCTGAAGTTTTGCTTTCCCACTATTAGGAGTCTTCTTTATGAATTATATGGTTCTATATGCTCACAGAGCACTATAAACTCTGTGTAAAGGAGGCCAATTATTTTAGTAATGTTAAAATTCTGCCACATCTTATGATGTTATATACCTCTATTTATTTAATATTAGTAAAAAATAGTTAATAAAGTTCATTTAATATTAGTGAAAGAGTAGATTATATTTCTATTGTTATGTATAATTTAAAATATATTTTGTCTTTTATCTTTGAAGTTCAGTTATTTTTTGAAATTAGCCTTCATGAGTTTTCTGTCATATAAAATTTAAGAAAAAAAGCAGGTATTGTATTTCCTTCCATCTGCAATTGTAAAATACGTAAAGTTTAGCAAAGTCTCTCTTTTTAAATGACAGTGACAATATAATAAAAATATGTCCTTCCCTTGCTCATTGTTCCTCCACCATAGTCTACAACCAATTTTATTGTCAGAAAAGATTTCTTTATGTGCTTATGTTAATTTAACTCTGCAGTAAAATGTAGTGAATTAAAAAAATAGCCACAGCAACAAGTATCATGGTCACTTTAATGAAGAACATAGCAAAAAAAAAAAAAATACAACTAGCAGTAAATAAAGAACACCCATTACAATATAGGAATTTACTTTCTTGTTGCATAGAATTGACATTTACACATAGCATAGTAAACATTTTGACTTTACAGAGCTATTTCATTCATGTATAATAGCTATCATTTATTATCATATTTATGTTTATAAACAATCAATTTTTAGTGGCTCAGAGTATTTGCTGTGTGTTTTATTGGCAAATTTCATGTTTATCTTACTATAAAATAGAATTATTTTATTTAAGGACTTTGTGTTTTCTATATACCTACCTGGCATAAACCAAATTGATGGTTTAGAATAAAAGATTTGCTGTTTAGGGCAATGGAATCATAAGTCGTAGCCAGGCAATGATGTAAGGATAATGATCATATTGACGGCTGTCAAAATTCATACTGTGTTCTGAGTTTTACTGGCTGCCTGTCTTCCTGGGTGTGCCTTTGCCTTTGAGTCACAACTCCAGAGAAGGACACAAACAAAACTTATTTGCAATTTGCAAAAAATGGAAGGGGGGAATCAAAAGGAGGGGGCTCCAAAAGACTGTAAAATTGTACAGCATGAGTCCTCTGATGCATGCTGTTTTCAATCTGCTGTGTGCCAGTTGGAGGCTCAGGGAGTGTGTGCGCGCGAGAGAAAGGATAATGCTAAGAAATGATAGAGTGGCTGTGACCTCCAAGCTCAGCCTGGAAATCCAAGACATTGATTTCACTTAGCATTCCTGCTGAGAAATCTGGCGGAGTTCAGTTGTAATAAAAGAACAAGATTCTGTTCTAATGGTAATGGCGTATGACAGACATATCACTTTGTCTGTCCTCCGCACCAGAGAGTGCAGAATTGGAGAAAGGTCACCTGACCTGCCTGTGGTGTTGTACAAGTGCTGTACTGAGCTTTGAACTGCCGACTAGGAACATAATTATTTATAATATTAAATGGTAAAGAAACCTTTAAGAGGACTCACAGTGAACTTCTAAATACTACACACAGGAATTGTATTCTGTAAATGTGGAAAACAGGAAAAGAAATCTGGTCTATTCAAAAATTTGCATTTGAGAACAGGGCAGCCTTGCTTACTGACTTACATGTCCTTAAACTTACTGTCTGTGAACTATTTGCATTAATGCCTGATATATTATCATTGGTTAATTTCTTAATGCCTTGATTTCATTAGCCATGTGCCACATGTACATTTTTATCATCTAATTTGCTTTGATAGTATGATAGAGAATTAAGACCATCAGCATGTTTCTAAAATTTCTCAGCAGTTATAATCTTTCTAAATACATGGACACTTGTCTCCTTATCAATCATTTAAATTTTCTCCTCTGGATCCCACTCCACAATTACATTTTTTTAATGAACAACTAAAGTAAATATATTTAGCTCTTGATGGAGATTCTCCTAGCTTGTGTGTCTTCACAGCCAAGATGATGGCTAAGTATTAATAAATAACAGTGAATGAAAGTATAACATCATGAATTTTTGTGCACAAGAAATAGTATGTAGAAAAGTTTACAAACAATTCTGCCCTGAAAATAAGGAAAAATAATTTAATGTATAATTGAGTATTATTTGGAGCTTGAATCCCATATATAATAATGTTGTTTTGAGTTGCTCAAATGCCCTAACAAGCATTTAAATTTGTTGTCAGTTTAAATTATGGATGGACCAATATATTTTGTATATAGCAACTTTCATATTTGTACCACATATTGTCTATTTAAAGATATTTTGCAAATTTTTTTGCCATTTTGTAAGATCCTAGAAAGTCTTTGATTTGTGATAGTAAGTGATCTTTTCATACATTTGTTTTCTAATAAATTATTCTAAAAAATAGAGCCAATATCATGTTTAAAGTAAATCAGAAGAAATGTTATGCTATTTCATACAAGACTCCCATAATTGTTAGTTTTGAATAGCTTTATAATTTTTATATTATCAAATCTTCCTATGTCCATAGCTGTGATAAACATCTGAACTTCAATTTTTAAGTGATTTACTATTGTAAGAGTATAACCACCCCTTGGGAAAATTTGAAGGGCAACTTGTAAATCTACTGAATACCTCTTGGTATTCCATGGAAACCTATATATTGCCTGCAGCAACCAAGAACAGCTAGTGCGAAAAGCTGATGACATGAGAGAATTCCTGGGTGCTTTTCTTTTAACCTTGCTGTGACCCTAGTCATACCCCTAGTCACAGTTGTGTCTCTATCAATGGCACGAACACACAGATTGTCCAAATCAATTTTTTTGTTCTTTTCAAATACTTCTGGCAGTGATGTTCCCATTTGCTCAGCAGTAGCACCTGGGAGTTATGACAAGGAAAAGAAATGTTTCTCTGACAAGCCAGAAATGGCCCCAACCAGCTGACCAGACACAATCAGATTGTTTCTGCTGCAATATCCTTATAAATA